CCCCAAAACCCCAAAACCCCAAAACCCCAAAACCCCTTATATTTCGCTTCAAATTGACCGGAATAGGGATTTAAAAATGTTTCAAGGATTCTTGAGGATGACAGGGCCAAGCTGGTTTTTGTAGAATGAAGTTTTGATAACTGGATGTTTAGTAGGCGTTGAAAGATTGGTTGAGAATTTTAATAAGAAGGGAATTTTGTGAGTGTTTTTGGGAGTTGAGCAAGGGAATGAAGATTATATGTTTTGAGCTATTTGTTAGAGACATAGGGCGATTTATAGAGGCCATTTTAGGTGAGAGAAGACTTGGTCAAGTATTTAGAGAATTTTAGTTTTTGGTATTTTTACTATTTTAGTCAATGAGTTTAGTCCACTCTGTGTTTTTGGTCAGACCCCAGCTCTCGATGAACAAACGCATCTGTTCCATAAGTCTTTGGTACTGGTTAGTTGAATTGTTGCATCCGACTAGAAAAAGTTAGAGGGGAAGAAAAGATTCTTACATAATTCTTTTAAATGCCTGAATGATCTCTTTATCTGTTCTTGATTAGCTTTAGGAAGTTTCGGTATCTTAGGCAAGCTTAATAGTAATGAAACCCATTTGTGTTCTGAGAAGACCCATGCTTGAAGGGATCCTCCAAGTTCAACACAGTATTTCTGGTTGCTTTTAACAATCGAGATGACTTCATCAATGGTCGTGCAAAACTCTTTTACTCGCTCGTTCGACATTTTTGGGGGGTCGATTTGCTTAGCCTCACTGAAGGGCATTTCCTCAACTGATTGGGACTCAAACTCTTGAATAACTTGGTTAAGTTGCTCGTACTTATCTTTAAGACGTTCGAACTCCTTCTCTTTAAGAAGTTTGATTTGCTTCTTTAAGAAATTATGGAGTCCCTCTGGAATCTCTGTTATCTTAGACCCACTAGTTTTGACTTTCTTGTTGTTCAAAATTTTGTTCAAGTTCTTCTGCTGTTTTTCAGACATTTTTGGAAGAATTTTCATGATTAAGAGATAAAAGAGCTTCCTTTTCTCTGGGCTGATGTCCTCAAGTTTTCCAATAAGCTTTTCAATGTTGCTGAAGAAGCACCGGTTGATAAACTCTTTCCTCTTTGTCTCATCTTCTAGGTGTCTAGACATGAAGGTCGGATCTTCAATAGTGTACTTGTTGTAGTCTCGGATTTTAAGGATGAGGTAGTCGTACTCATCCTTAAGGCTTTTAGCACTGAAAGGTCTGAAGAGACAGTCTATAAGATCTTTTTCACTGGTTTGTATGTCCTTTTGTGAGATTAGTCTCCAACTCTCTTCACTTTCAGATTTGAATTGATGGATCAGGAAGATTCTTAGTGCATCTATTTTTACAGGAAGGATGTTGCATATTTCTAAAATTTTGTTATAAAATTCTGTAGATTTGATCACTGGAGCATATGATGCTAACAAATCATTTAGGTCTTTTATAATGTTTTGGTAAAGCTCTTCAGATTCAGGAGTCGGAGCTCCAGCATTTGTAAGATATGATCTGATTTGTCCCTCTGATAAGCTCCAGTTCTTGATGATCTTCTCTGCCCAGTCATCTGCGTTTTGGAGGTAATATGATCTATTTCTTTCGTACATTCCAAATTTTATGACATCTTCTGTATGTGTTTTGTTGTTATTTTACAGTAATCTTGAATCAGCCAACGTTCTGGAGATGAGACTCCTTCAGACACTGTGTGTTGGAGTCATAGTCTTTGACATTAATCTCAATGCCTTTATTGAGGCCATTTTCCATGCTCCTTTCCAGAGATAGCTGATCTTCTGAAGAGCTTCGGTTTAGCTTTGCGTCTCACATCTCAACAACCTTGTTGAGCCTTTTCTCAGATTCTTGGTGATTCCGAAGATTGTGAAAATCTGCAGTGTTAATTTGCTTTTTGTAAGCAGCTATAGTCCTAGGTAGCATGATTATAGTATTCTCATGCACCACTTGGTGTAGGAAGAGAATTGTTTTGTTAATAATGTTATCAAATTTTTGACAAAATCCCATCTCAGCATGAGTAGAGATCGTGTCAATTGTCTGTAGGAATAACTTCTCATACTGAGAAGTGTAGTTTTTGCACAGAATTCAGCAGAAATGGTATAGCTTTCCTATATGCTTGAAGACATCCCTAAGACTAGAGAAATTGGGTCAGGTACTTCCTCCAGAAACTCTGTTGATGTCTTTCTTTTGGAACCCGGACAGATAGTAAACGGCGAAATTAAATAATGAGATATTCTTGAGGGATAATTTCACAGCCAAGTTAGTGCTCATACCTACATCTTGTGAGCTTTCTGAGCTCACAAGATGAGATAGGTCAGAAGCCTGTAGAATTTCAACTATGAGCATTCATTTCTCGATGCAAAATGAGTATGATTCAACAGTTAAATCAAAAGGAGTCAGCTTGATATCTCCCTCATTGATCGAGAAGAGTTCTCCAAAGATGATTTCCTTCAAAGGAGTAAGAATAATGCCATCAGATAATTCAGCAAGGAAATCATACTGCTCTTGTGTGAGAAGAGAGGTCTGGAACAAATCTGCAGCTATACTGTAGTGGAGTTCCTCCACTTTTTTCCAATTTTTATGCTGTTTTTCCATTTTATTATCAATTTATATAAAACTGCCTGGGGTTTTGGGGTTTTGGGGTTTTGGGGTTTTGGGG